ATATCTTGACCAGATTACTGGGGGAAATTAAGTTTGGAGGTGCAGAAAGAGGACACAAGAAAAAATAAAATGGCTTAAATGCTTAACAACTGCTGGCCAAGGGGCACGTTGGTTAAGAGTTGGCTTGAGATGCCAGCTCTGAGCAGCAGGGCCCTGGTTCGGATCCCACCTGAGGGCCAGTGACGCTGTGCCCTCTACAGCAAAGATGGTGAACAACAGCTCAACCTGGAACTGGGCTGCCGTGAGCTGCCTGCGATAGCGTAAGCTGCAGTGGGCTGCCGTAGTCAGTGGCTGGCAGCCAGCATGAGCAGCCAGCAGCCTGCGTAAGCTGCCAATAGCTGCCATGAGAGGTCATCCAGTGGCCAGCGAGTGACTGCCTCACCCAGGAAGAGCACATAATACCAACATGGGCCAGTGAATCAACATCCTCCACAACTAGGCTGAAGAAAAAAAGGACAGCAACTTGTCTGTTCCCTTCCCCGAATTCCTCAATAAAATCTTTAAAAAATAAATTAAATAAATTGCTTAACAAAATTTATTAATGACTAAAAAAATGATCCTGTAAACATTGGACCTGGCAATAATGATGATGATAAAATAAAACCTACAATTGCAAAAGCTACCATTAAGTTAAAATACGGACAAATTAGACATGAACAACAACAAAGAAACTAAAGAATCAAACCCTCATTTTAAAGACTCCATGGAGAACAAATGATTCCAATGAAAATAACTGCAGTAAAATGGTTTAAGGAATTAAACTATTTTCAATGACTTAATTTTGGCATATGACAAAAATGCACCATATAATTCTACCTTACTAAATAGTATATACACAAAAAGAGCATCAGAATCAACACATTCGGTATTTACCACCACCCGCCTCCAGAACTCTACTTCTGGTAATGTTTCTGTTACAGCAACAAGGATTGCCTAATCAAAAACCTCAAACATGCAATTTTATATAAACTTTATTTGTTGTTAATAAGATGACACTTGAAGATCAAGAAAAATTAGCCCAGACTCACATGAACATCAATCATCCTGAAATGCCACTATCAGAAAGTAAAAATTGCACATAGACAGGTCATGGTTAATGATTAAAAGTATCGTAACATTTCTCCAAGAAGCATTTTGGAAATCAGAATGTTAAACAGTCAAGAAAGCCACAAGAAGACTCAAATCTTATAATACTTAGATATGTTGAATATATGGAAAAGTATCTGGAAAGGAAAAATAAATTTTGTAATACCACCTCAAACAGTTTTACCAAAATAATGAAAGAAAAATAAAACAGTATAGAGCCCAACAGGTCTAAGTAAAATATGTGGCATCCTACAAAAAACAGGAAACAGTTTTCTGCTTTTGCTAATAATGCAAGCAACATGAAACAGAAGAGGTATCAGAAAGTCAGAAAGGATACATTTCAACATACTAACTCAATAAAATATGCTTTCCATTACAGTCTAAATTGGCTTCCCAACAAATGGACTCCCATCAAAAATAATTAGAAAATAAAAAGCTTCCAGAAATTCATATTAAAGCCCCAAGACAACAAAAGGAGGAAAAGAAAAAAAGTGACAAAACTTGCTAAAATGGAATAATTACATTCCATGAGATTTTCTTAAAATCATTAGTAAAGAAACTTAAGAAAATAGTGCTAACTGGTTATCTTAAAACACTCAAAAAAGTAAGAGTTCTTAAATCGAAAGTTTTCTAGGTTCATTTATGTTATTGATTCTAAAGCCAATTTCCTCAGCAATCACTCCTAAATAAAATAATGTACTGTTCACCAGCCATTCCTTTCCAAATGGTCCAGATAACCACCTAAGTATATCTATAGTCTCATATACAGAAATAAATATAGAAGAAGGGGGGTTGGGTAAGGAGCCTTATTAACAGCAAAAAGAATTTTGTTACCAGCCAAATTACACTGCTCTGAAGCTCTTGGATGCAAGATAGGATGGTAACTTAAGCAATGACAAAACATTCCATTGAATGATGACAAGTGGCACACTTGATCTTGGAAAGATACTCAAATGTTGCAGGAAAAAAAAAATCTTCAAATATTTTGCTCAGTAATGTAGTACTGGATTCTGCTAGGCAAATCTTTCCTGCAACGTGAGGGCAAGATTTTTTTTTTTAATGAAGATTCAATCTAACCATATTTGTTTCAAATATACTTCAGACGTTTCCTTTCTCTACAGTACGACCAATGTACAATGAATGAATCATAAAAAGCACATTAGAACTGGGAGTGACCTTGGAAATTAGCTTATTCCATGGCGTCATTTTAACCAAGATAGACTTTCATAAACATCTAGCTAATTATTGGCAATGAGAAATAGAAGCTGAGTCTACTGATTTCCAACCTAGCTTACTTTATTTATCTGGCACCATCCCTATTTCTGCTACTAAGTTCATGGCACCCACTGAGAAAATTTTAGCTTCTTTCCACTTACCAAGAAGAATGATTCCTGAAATTGGGCCATAGCAGAATCAATAATCAACCACAAAATGTAAAACCTTTGGGGAAAGAAGAAACAGGAACAGTACTAGCAATAACGGATAGTGAGTGGGGCAGGAAGAGTGAAAAGAAATGGAGGATGGATGCTCAACAATAGTTTTGCGAGGGTCAGGAAATCTTTACTGCACAGGAACTGGAGCCGCACAAGTCCTGCCTGGATTCTCTATACACTGACCTCAATTTTTAAAGTTTATCTTAAATGTTTCAATTGAACATATATGCTATAAAGCACTGTACTTTATTCTCTGTAAAGTGTCCAAAAAAAAAAGCTCAGCCTACATACCAATCTAAGAATTTACAGCATCAGAAATCTTAACTAAAGACTGTGTATGTATTAAATGTGCATATGTGTATAACATATACACACATATATATAACTAGGTATATAAGTAAATATGTACATATTAAACTCATATGATGAGCTGGTTTTCATAAGTGATGTCACTTTAGATAGCATTACTTACTCATCTTATTGCTACTACTAGAAAACTGAGACTTTTTTTTCTAGTGGCAATAAATTGATGTTGATCAACCCCAATATACTGGAGGAGCCAAAAAAATGTATACACATGACTTGTATTCAACTTTTGTTATCACTACATATTATTACAATTTTAATATAGTTTTTTTCCCTTTAAAATGTGTATACATTTTTTTGGCACCCTCTGTATACAGATACCCATTTCTTGTGATGTGAGGGTAACTATATTAAATCTAAGTCATAATCCATTCAGCCTAGATTCAGTCACCAACAGCAATATTAAGGCACATACAGAGTGTGAGAATAAACTACTGATGTCAAAAGTCTGACATAGTGCCTGAACAATAACCCTTGCATAGTGCAATCCATTGATCTAAACATCCCCATTCTCCACCTTTTCCAAATGTAGAATTAACTGTTTAGGCTATTTAAGAAAACATTTCTCCTTCCTCAATCACTTAAGCAAGTAATTTCTAGGGCCCAGCTGTATGCCAAGTACTGTGCTAAATAGTCTGCCACCTCCATTTAACAAGGGATCCACTGACCTTTTTTACATCTCTGAATTACAGCATCAAAATTACACTCCAAAATTAAAGATGTAAAATATTTTCAAGCTATAACTAGTAAGATATCGCCTAGACATATATACACATGAAAATAATCTGGATTCAGCTAAGAACAAAAATGAGAACACCATAAAAAGATCCTATGTATCACTTACCAAATGGGCACAAATGAATTAATTGTTTGGGACAATTAAAATTGTTCTTTTTAAACTTGTTTTTAGTCTTGTAAAACCTGTGCCCAATATAGTTTTTTTGCAGGCATATGTTGAAGTCTAAACCTCTTAAAAATCTTTTCATTAGACAAATTCTTCAGTATGAATGCTACTGTAAAAAATTATAGCTCAAGTCAAAGAGAAATGATTTTGAGATCAGAGGACCCTCCTAAGAAGACAGCACCATTTTCCTCTTAGTAGGGCTTCCTGGAAACTGAGGTCTGTTTTTCTTTTTTCAACTTTTACTTGAGCAGCACTTAGAATATGTTCCTTTAAACTTCATACAAATTTCATTTTAGTAGTAAACCAAAAAGCAAATACATGCCTCAAAAAATTAGCAGGTCCAAATGAAAAATTAAGGTTTCAAAGAAATTATTCTCTAATTAAATATTCAAACAGCTATGCCCCAGACCACCATTATCCCCTGATCACCTGGATTCCAGACCTGTGAACTGTTTTCTTTAAAATATGGATTTTAATTAAAAATAATGAAGACAGGGAACCTTTCGCTGACATAGAGAACACAGCAGAAACAGCTTTAGAGACAGAATGCCTAAGGGATAGGTTGAGAACCACTGGTGTAGACCATGCTGAAGGCAATGAAGAGTCCCTGAAAGGGTTTAAGCAGCAGAGTAGAGAACAGATTGGAAGGAGCCATCTTGGGAGCATGAAAACCAGTTGGATGGCTATTGCGGTAATCCAGCTATCTCACATTTGTTTTCCAGCTCTAAATCCATACAAATACCAGAGTTTGTTTTTGGCCAAGTCATAATTGTGAGTGAAGAACCGTGGATTGAGAATTTTATCTGCTCCTCAACTGCTTTCTTAAAATCAGCAATTTGAGGGACGGCTGAATGGCTCAGTTGGTTAAGAGCGCAAGCTCTGAGCAACAGGGTGGCCAGTTTGATTCCCATATGGGCCAGTGAGCTGCGCCTGAGCTGGGCTGCTGCTCAACTGCCAAAAGGTGGCAGGAAGGCTCAGCCGGTGAGAGCACGTGCTCTTAACAAGATTGCTGGTTCAACTCCCGCATAGGATGGTAGGCTACACCTGCCCGCAACTTAGATTGAACTCGGCACCTTGAGCTGAGCAGCCGCAAGCTGTAGATGGGCTGACAGATGGCGACTGGACTTGGGAGCTGAGCTAGCTGCGCCCTCCACAACTAAGATTGAAGGACAGCAGCTTGGCTGTTCCCCTTCCTCAATTCCCCAATAAAAAAAAAATCTTAAAAAAAAAAATATCAGCAATTTGATAAACTGTCTGCTTCAGAATGTACACAGAAGTTGAGGCTAAGAAAATAGAACTGGTTGACTGGGGAAAGGCTACCAGCAAAGGCACTGTGACAGACCAAGTGCAAGGACCCAAAGAGAAAGTCAATTCCATGAAGTCCTGGCTGAGCAAGGTCGAAAGTCCCAGTTCTCTCACTGACTGCACGAACTTTTCTAATGAGAAAACCATCTCTAAACTTGAATATTCTAATTTTAGTATTCAATATTAATAGAAATAAAAATTGTTTCTACTTGGGGGCCGGCCGAGTGCCTCAACTGGTTAAGAGTTGGCTTAAGAGCACGAGCTCTGAGCAACAGGGCCGCCGGTTCGATTCCCACATGGGCCAGTGATGCTGCGCCCAAGCTGAGCTGTCACTGAGCTGCCAACAGGTGGCAGGATGGCTCAGCTGGTGTAACAGCAAGATTGCCTGTTTGATGGTGGGCTATGCCCACCCGCAACTAAGACTGAACTCAGCACCTTGAATTGAGCTGCCATTTGGATGTCTCAGTGGACAGAGTGTGTGCTCTTAACAACAAGGCTGCCGGGTTCGACTCCCACATGGGATGGTGGCTATGCCCACCTGCAACTAAGATTGTAACACAGCACCTTGAGCTTAGAGGCCACAAGCTGCCGACAGGAAGCCAGATGGCAACTGGCGCCCTTCACAACTAAGACTGAAGAACAACAACTTGGATGGTCCCCTCCCCCAATTCCCCAATAAAATCTTTAAAAAAAAATTTGTTTATACTGCATAATAGACACTATGTATTAAGTCTATATACTAGAATAATAGCAGACTAGGGTAAAAAAAGGAACTCTGTTCTGAAAGCTACAGCACCATATATATTACTAAAAATGCCCAACACTGAAAATAGTTTTACTCAACTATGTTTGTAACAAGCAAAAGATCAGTATCCTAAAATAAAATGTCATTACAAAATATTTAATACAAATACAGTAAAACCTTGGATTGCGAGTAACATGGTTTGCGAGTGTTCCACAAAACGAGCTAACATTTCTAATACATTTTAGCTTGGTAAACAAGCGATGTCCTGCACTATTAGTTTGTTTCCGGAACGAATTATGCTCACAAACCAAGTACATTTTAACGTGGTATACGAGTGATGTCTTGCAATACAAGTAGTTTATTTCCAGAATGAATTATGCTCACAAACCAAGACATTACTGTATTTAATTTAAACTTGTCTCATGGAACTTTAATTCTAATGAATATGATAGCATATGTTATTTGGCTAGACAAAAAATAATAAAGTTACCCATTTAAAAATTATTTTTAGGTACTACTGTCTGAATCAAATTCTATAACCTTCCAAATAATAATCTTGTTATTAAAGTCAAGTAATTTGTGGGCCAGCAGAGTGGCCCAGTTGGTTAAGAGCTCGCTCACGAGTTTGAGCTCTGAGCAACAGCAGTTCAATTCCTGGCCTGAGCTGAGCAGCCGCTGAGCTGCCAACAGGCGGCAGGATGGCTCAGCTTAAAAAAAAAAAAGTCAAGTAATTAGTTTAATAACAAAAAGAACCAGTAGTTAGATATAAATGTATATGATCAGTATAACCATGAAATAATATCAATAAAGAATTTTTAAAAATAATGAAGGGACTATGACAGATAAGCATTAATCACTAAAAGTGATGATTACACAGTGGGGTATTTTGACCACATGACCAAGTAATTATTTTAAAGGTCATTATATCACTTTAAATAAGTACTACTATACTGAGAGACAAGTGATAGTTAAATATGTATGCCAGGGGAATGGAAGATGAAAAAAAAGACAAAAATCTATGTTTCCAATTTGGAAAAAGGAATACAACTAGTTTGCTGAGAAATACAAATCAATAGTTAAACACTGCAACTTGAAAAGTATGAATGTTATTACTCAAGCCAAGCTGTTTACTGAATATCCGAATTGTTAAACTTTAGTTTCTTTAACTTCTTTGTCTTTTGTTAACCTAAAACTATGAAAATACTTCCTGACTCTCTTGGTGATGTCAACAGTTTATGTAAGGCAAGCTTCACCAGTCAACAACCACTATAAACTAAAAAACCAAACACTCACCATAGATTATTAAATGAATGATGTATAACCACTCAGGTCCACAACATATTCATAAACTCAAGTCATGCTTCATTTCATGTTCTAATAAGAATTAAGAGAGAATGCCAGATATCATTTACCTTAATAATTATGGAGGGGAGCCTTTTATAAAGTGTTTTGTGGTTACAGAGCACTTTTGTAATATTCCATTATTTTCATATTTTAGCAAAGCAGTGATGGTCTCTCATTAAATTATTACCAATAAGATAACATAGGCTGGTCAATTAGGCACAATTAAGTCGATTCACAGCTGAACCACCAAACATTAATCGAATAAATCAATATACATCTAGATCCAAATTTCCCAAATGGTGTTCCATTGAACCTGAAATTTTTACTAAAAATTTTTAACCATTCTTGTGTTTTGTTACTAAGTGATAAACTGTGAGTGGCTTTAGATAGGTATTTGCAAATACTTCAAATAATACTTTGCAAGTGTAAAATGTAGTCTTTAATTTTCTAAAAAGGATGGCCATGTTGCATATCACTATATAGTCTTTTTAATATGACTTTTTAAATAATTACCAACATCTTGTTGACATACAAGATGTTAGAACACAGACAACTTACAGAGAGAGGTAGTAATAATCCTGAGCTAAATATTTATAATCATTAACATTTTTATCCTCCTCATTATCTATTACAGTAAAACCTTGGATTTCGAGTAACTTGTTTTGCAAGTGTTCCACAAGATGAGCAAACATTTCTAATACATTTTAACATGGTAAACGAGCGATGTCTTGCAATATGAGAAGTTTGTTTCCGGAACGAATTGTGCTCACAAACCAAGGTATTACTGTATTTCAATATCAACTTAATTTTCTTAATGTTTCTTATCCCTAACTAATGGTCCATTGACTGGATATATTAATACAAATAATTGAAAGAACTGAAATAACATAACTAAGAGTCAACAAAACATATGACTAAGAATTAAAACAATTTAAAACCCTCATGGTAGACAGAAAGATTTGGCAGAATTATTAACTGGTTATGGCACCACTACTTGGTCCAATTTTCATTTGACATCTCCTCAAATTGCCTCACTGCAAAGGAAGAAAAACAGTTATTCTCTCTCTCTCAAGATTTTATTGGGGAATTGGGGGCAGGGGAACAGACAAGCTGCTGTGCTTTTGTGCTTCAGTCTAGTTGTGGAGGACATTACTTCACTGGCCCATGTTGGTACCAACATTGCGCTCTTCCCAGGCGAGGCAGATCGGTCACTGGCCTCTGGACGGCCTCTCACGGCGGCTCTTGGCAGCTCACACTGGCTGCCGGCCACTCACGCTGGCTGCCAGCCACACACAGTAGCTTATGGAAGCCCACTGCAGCAGGGGCTGCAGTCTACGCCATCGCCTCATGGCAGCCCAGCTCCAGGTTGAGCCGCCATTCACCATCTTAGCTGCAGAGGGCAGTGTCACTGGCCCTCATGTGGAATCCGAACTGGGGCCCTGCTGCTCAGAGCTGGCGTCCCAAGCCAGCTCTTAACCAACGGGCCACTCGGCTGGCCCTTTTCTCTCTTTTTTTAAGCAACAGAAATCTTTTACTACATGAACACTGTAGAGCATCTTCTTGAACTCAATTCACTAACACTGACTTGGGGAAATTATTCTATAAGTCTATAGTGGTGAGCTACAGTGATCTGTTCATAACCCCATACAGCTCAATGTTTTAAAAATCAAAACTTGAGATGAAAATAATGAAAGCATCTTTAAATGCTCCCACAGCTTTCAGGAGCAAATCTAAAGTTCTTCAGCCATCATGTAGCACACTATCCAGTAGAACTTTTATGCAATGATAGAAATGTTTTATATCTGCAATGTTCAATAAAGTAGCCATTACCCACATGTGGCTACTGAGCACTTAAGATGTACCTAAGTATAACTAAAGAACTGCATTTTAAATTTTATTTAATTAAGATTAAATAAATTTTAAAATGCAGCTCTTAATTAAATAAAATTTAAATTGTCACAGCAGCTACTGGCTGCTGTAAGGGTCAGTATAGATTTAGAATGTAATATGACTGCTTCCAGACAAAATGGAAAAATCAGATTTACTCTCCCACTTGAGAAAAAACAAAAAAATTGGACAAAACAATGGTTTTCAGAAATTGGGCAAAAAACATCACACAACAGTGTACCTGAGAGGTGAAGCAAACAAACTGATCCCTACAACTGCCTCAACTTATTGCTTCGAGATAGTTTTCAGGCCACAGCACAAGGAAGGAGAACCCAGACAAAGCCCAGTGGTCTCCCAGAGTTGAGAAGACAGAGCTGGGAGGCCAAAGCAGATGAACTTCTCAGAGCAGAGTACTAGAGATGAGAGAGCTGCACAGAGAAAGCACCAAAGATTTAGACAAGGCCCCTTTCAAGTGTTGGGCTGAGTTGATTAGCACGTGTATATGAGGAAACTACCCCAGGCTAAAGAAAGAAACCCCTCTGAAAGGAGCAAAGAGAAAATTGATAGGTCTTTCAGAGGCAGCAGAATAATTCCTATTCCCACCACTCAGAATAAGAAATCTCATAATTCACAAGGCATCAGATAAGAGTAGTCATAGAATTCTTGCCTCAGTACTGCAAAAAAATTAGCCCCTAAAGGCTGCTTTGGTCTCGCCCAAAAGCTTCAAAACAAGCCTCAAAAGGATCAAACTGTCTCCAAATAACTTCAACCCAAGAACAAAGCTCAAGAATATTTATTGTACAAAAATGTCCATCAACAAGGTCAAAATTTACCAACAAGGTAAAGGTCACAATATCCAGCATCTAATCAAAATTAACGAAGCATGCAAAGCAGGAAAATATGACCCTTAAAGAGCAGAAAAACCAAACAGCAACAAACCTAGAAATGACAGATGATAGAATTAGTAGAGCAGAACATTAAAAATTATAAAAATTATTATAATTATATTCCATATGTTCAAAATTGTTTTATGAGCCTAATAACAGATCTTCAAAGTAAGTGAAGCAAAAACTGATAAAACTTCAAAGAGAAACTGACAAAACCATAATTATATAGTTAATTTCAACATCTCTCAAAAACTGACAAAACTACTAAAAAATCAGTATGGATACAAAAGATTTGAACAACAATATCAACCAACTTGTGAAATGTCTTAATTAACCA